TAATATAGCACTAGGTCTTGCGTGCCTTTGAGATATCTCAGTATTCTTTAGGCAGCCTTCAAGTGAGATTCCTTGGGGTTTGATTGAAACCTCGCACACAACCCCACGCTAAAAATAATATCAGGTCGACTGGCAGTGAGATAGAGAAGAGACCCGATGATGCCTCTATACATTGTTTGATTCACAGGAGATCCTGTTTCATCCATGTCCAGTCGAGTGGCAGTTGCAATGGGAGTGTCTATCACCTTTGATGCTTCCATGTCAAACCTCTTCAAGAGTTCCCTATTGTATTTTTGCTGACAGATGGAAGTACCTTTTGGGGACTGTTTTACTTGAAGACCCAAGAAGAAATTTAATTCCCTCATCATGCTCATTTCAAATTCACTCCCTATAAGTTTTGCAAATTCTTCACAAGAGAGTCAGCTGTTGCTTCAAAGATGATATCATCAACATAGACCTGAACAATGAGCAGGTTCCTTCCTCGTTTCTTTAAGAAAAGAGTGTTATCAATCTTCCCTCTCTTAAAGCCATTTTCTAAGAGATGTTTTGACAATCATTCATACCACGCTCGAAGAGCCTGCTTTAGCCCATACAGGGCTTTGTCCAATTTGAACACATACTCAGGGTGCTCATGACTTTCAAACCCAGGTGGTTGCTTCACATAGACTTCTTCCTTAAGTAGTCCATTCAAGAATGCACTTTTGACATCCATTTGGAATAGAGTGAATTCCATATGAGAAGCAAAGGCGATCAGAATTTTGATGGCTTCCATGCGAGCCACTAGAGCAAAAGTTTCATCATAGTCAATCCCTTCCTCCTGATTGTAACCTTGAACCACTAGCCTGGCCTTGTTCCTTGTGGTAATTCCATGCTCATCGAGCTTGTTTCTGAATAGCTAGAAATCATATGAGGATCGAGTATTAAGTCCATAAATCGTACCTCCAAGTGTTTACCCTTGACTCCCTCTTCAATCTCCCTCAAAAAGCTCCAAAATCGCTCAACAATGGTGAAACATAGACCCAAAATCGCGAAAATGGTCTTTTAAACATTCTACCCAGCTATTCACGATCCTTCTTCGTGAACGCGGTCAACGCCAAGCATTCGCGAAGCACAAACTTACGTTGACCAATTATTCCTTCATCGCGAACGCGACACCCCTAACGCGAACACGAAGCTTCAGCTCATCAGAGCACCGCGAACGCGACGACCCTCTCGTGAACGCGAAGCACAATTTCTCTAGGACCCCAGCTGCTCACCTTTCCTCTACGCGAACGCGAAGGCCAACTCTACTGCCTCACATCTGTGGGACTTATGCTATAACTGTTGCACTTTTGAACCCACTCTCACACCTCTCAGTAGAGAGAGTGATTTTGCCCAATTGACTCTCTTGAGACCAATTGGGAGGCCAATTTGCCCAAGCAACTTATGGTTTAAGTTAGGTAATTACTCTCTCGAGGTTTAACCCATTAATTGGGATTACCATTCTCATGGGTCCATCCCAATTCCTTGTTAGAATTAATCTTGGGGTCATAGACTCTCTTTCTCAAGAAGAGTCAAGACTCACTACGCTAGACTTAGTGTTTGCAACCACCAAATCTTAATGAAAACATAAGATTAATCCCAATAACAAATACCCAACATCATTCATGCACTAAACAATCACATCCATTAATTACCCACACTAGGGTTGAGCTACAACCCTAGCTAATGGGTTTAGCTAGCCATAATAGAAACAGAAATTGAAGAAATAGTAGATGAAATTGACATAATAATTAACTACAATGTTAATCTACTCAAATCCACGTTAATACTAGAAAAAATTTCCCAAAATAGGCTAAAACTCTAAAGTCTCGAGTTCAATTGCTATCTGATAAAAAAAAACTCTCCCTCTAAAAAGTAAAATGTCCTATTTATACTACACAGGAAAAACCGGACAAAAATACCCCTAAGGGTCTGGCACGGACCGCGCACAAATGACGCGCGGCCGCGTAGGGGTTTGGGTCTTCATATCTTGCTTCTGACACTAGGGACGTGGACCGCACAAATGTGACGCGCGGCCGCGTAGGGTGTTTTGGTCCAAATCCTCCCTCTATGAACTTCATCCACGCGGACCGCACTGATTAGGTGTGCGGCCGCGTGGGCTTTTGCCTTGAATGACTAAGTCTCTGACACTCTTAGGCGCGGACCGCGTGGAAAGGAGCTCGGACCGCGCATCTTGACTTGGAAATTGCATGGTCTCTGAACTATCATGTGCGGCCGCGTGGAAAAGCAGTGCGGACCGCGCAGGTTGACCTTGAAATAACCCAGCCTCTGAACTCTCCTGTGCGGCCGCGTGACACATCAGTGCAGACCGCACAGGTCATTTTGTTCCCCACTTCAGTTGTGTTTTGCACTTGGCAGATTTCACTCCTTTTTGAGCCGATCTTTGGTATTTGTCATCTTGTCGCTCAAACCTGCAATCAAGCGCAACTTGTAAGCATTTTGGGACTAATTTATGGCAGTTAATGCACAAAGCTTTGGTAAGAATGGGTATAAAACCTGTAGAAATCACAGGTATCAACTCCCCCAAACTTAAACCTTTGCTTGTCCTCAAGCAAATAAAATGAGACCTACCCCCCAATGGAAAACACCCAAGTAATTCATGTTTATCCTAAAGTAACCTCAACAAGCATCAATTGTGACTAACAATTGCCCTCAATGCGAATGCATCATTAACACATTTAAACTTTGAAAACTTGTGGATCAAGTGTGACACAAGAGCATCAAGAGTTGACACATTTCATCAAGGAACCTTTCTCAATTTCTTTGGTCATTGTGGAACCCAAACTCACACATCCTCGACTTTCCCTAAGTGAACCTCACCTTTTTAGAGTATGTGCACACAAATCTAGGTGAATGGACTTCTCTCTCATCTCTCACAAAGAAAGTCCGACTCTAAGAACCATATGCTTTCCCCTTATGTAAGTATCCACTAATGTAGGCTTCCCTCAACTCAAGATCATATAGGGCTTTTGAGGAGTCATTGTGAAGGCTTTGGGTAAAGGTAGGACATGTTTTTGTTCAAATGGGTTCAATCTTCCCTTAAACACTTCTTTTGATTTATTTTGGCACACTTTCTTGACTCAATTGAGTAATTCACTTCTTTCAAGGGGTTAGAGAGACACATTATCACTCTTTCTTTTGCAATTCAAACCCTTTCTCCTTTTTACCACTTTTCCACACCTTTTTCACTTTTTTGTTGTCCTTGGATTCCCTTTTTGGTTCTTATTCATTTTTGTCTTTCTTTTTGTCTTTTTCTCTTTTTCATTGCCTTCCTTTTCTTTTGCTTTTGCGCCTTTTTACCACATTGATGCCTTTCTTGTCTCCCCCCCCAAACTTAGACATTTGCCATTTACTCAAGGGAAGATTTGGGTGCCAAGAGAGGGTCTCATTAAGAACGGGTATAGGCTTGTAGCTTGGTTCATGAAAGAAAAAGGTTTAAGGCTCAAAAGGGGTGAACTAGGGATTATTTCATTGGTAGGTCATGGAAATTGTTCAAATTTTGCATTTTGGATCAAGGAGAGCCTATAATCACGTCTCAAGGCAAGTTCCACCTATGATTTCGCCTCAACAAACATTCAGGGCAAGTTCTAGACCATCGGCTCGGTACTTGGGCTCACGATTCGAATTCTCACTACACACACTCAAGGATTGCCAAAGACGGAGTCGAGGGCCCACAACGACCTTAGATATGATTCAAGCGCACAATGGCCCAAAATGACCACATGATGATTGTTTGGTCAACACAAGAGTCTCAAGGCCACAACTTTCACCATCCTAAACACAACATAATGTCTTTGACCATAGGATCAAAGGCAAATGTGCTCGGCCTAAGTGAAGATTTGGCTGAGGTACCCTTAACTACAAAAACTTGAAAATCAAAAAAAAAAAAAATCAAAAACGGACTCAAACCCTTAAGAAGGTTGTCATGCCATCTATCATTGGGAAGAGCCACCCGGTTCGCACAACACTCTACCCTTGGAAAGAACCGTGGCATTAAGAAAACCAAGGGCTTATTGCAAATGCCAAAACAAAACAAAAAGGCTACGAGCCTAACTTTGCAACTAAAATGAAAAATTTTAACGAAAAATAGAAAACCAAAATGAAAACCGAATGAATATGTACAAAAGGGGAGTATAATATACAACTAGGGGAAATGAATATATACATAGAGTTTATGAGCATCTAGAATGAACAGTTATATACAAGCCATGTACAACTATGAATGTGCTGAAAGTAAAAGAATATATACAGTAATCCAACAGTCAATCAAAATAGTAGGGCCACACCCCCACGAATAAAAGCTAGCATTGTCCCCAATGCTAACTATCAAAATAAGCACAAAAATGAAAGAAAGGATATAGAAAGGCCCCTCAAGCCTCATCCGTCACCCTGTGCTGGTCAATGGCTCCTAAGTCCTCTGTACTGGCGGGGACCTCAGACTGGTCCCCGGCCTGCTGCTGCTGTGATGCTGGGACAGGTGCCTGCTCAAGAACTGGCTCATCAACTGGTGGGGTAGTGGAGGGACTCTCCTGAACTGGTGCTACCTCAATCACAACTCCCTTAGTGCTAGGGAGTTTCCTCTTTTTCCTTGGCCTCTGCTTCTCCTCCTCCTGTACATGTGCTACTGCTGGCTCTACAGCCGAATCCCCAAATAGTAGGTCAATTGGAAACTGATCCGCCATGAGCTTGTCCACATCCACTCTCAACCGTGTCACTAACTCCTTGGAAGCCTTCTGATTCCTCAGCTTCTTGTGCTCCCGAGCCAATTTCTCCAACGCTTTGCCATGTGCCCCAACCGCCTTAGTCAAGGCATCCTGCGTCGCCATCATATTTTCCTGGTTGGCCAGGATCTTCTTCAGTGCATCCTCAATAGAGGAAGGAATCTCAACAGTAACTGGTGCTCCCTGTGCCTGTACAGCAGTGGTCAATGTAGATAAATTGGATGTCGCACCTAACATTCAGTTGTTCAAACTGGCAAGGGAATGGGTGAGCTGGTTTGCGGTGAACCGGTGAGTCTTTGATGAAGGGACTACCGGGTCAGCTGCAATAGAAGGACCAGTTGCTGATGACGGACATGGAGGCAATGCCTCATCAGTAGCAGGAATGGTGGAAGGCTCACTGGGCTGCTCAATGATCGCTGGCTCCTCAGACTGGCCAGGTGCGGTGGAAGTGGATGCCACATTCTTCTTGCCCCTTTTTGGGTTTTCTGGACCCAACTGACTATACCATGAGTACGGGGCCACCGAAGGTACCTTGACATCATATTTCTTTTTCTTCACTTTCAATTCTTTGAAGTACAAAGAGAATGTGTTTGGGAAGGGGTAGTTTGTTTGGGTCTCCTGACCAACTGTAGAAATCACTCTCGACATAATATTACCCACATTTAGAGGGAAACCCTCCATGATAGATGCTACAAAGACAGCACGAGGAAGGGGAACGGAGTGATCATGTGTAGACGAGTCAAGTCGACTACACACGAAAGTCAACCACCCTTTGGCTTCAAAGTTTAGGGTGTTCCTAAAGATCTTTTCTTGTGCTTTCAACTAGACTGGGATTGTACCCGGGGCTGCCAAGTGCTCGTTCAACCAAGGACGAACCTCCTCTTTCATTGCTAGCTTTTCTAAATATTGCGATTCATCCTCTTCTTCGAACCCCAGGAATTCATTCAACGATTTGCCATCAAACACAACTGTCTTATCCCTCACTTTAGTTGCTTTTGAGTCCCGAACTATATGGTGAACATTGCTGTAGAACTCCTTCACCATATGCTCATTCGCCATCTCAACACGTTCTTTGAAGAAGCCCCAACCCTCTCTAGTGCGGAATTTTGCTTGCATATGAGGGTTGAGAAGGACAAGATCGGCATCTATGAACTGCCTCTCTGGAATCAGTTTCCTTTTGGGCCACCACTCCCGAAATTTGTGGAAAGCAACCTCACTAACAAACCTGTCTACCCATGCCTCTGATTTTCTAGTACGCTCTATCCCCCCGACCTGTGGCTAACCTCCCTCAGCATACCCTCTACTCTCCCCTGATAATGAAGTTGTGGGAGATGTGGAGTATTGCTCTTCTTCTCTTGCTACGGACTCATCAGACGAGTCCGAGATGACATTAACCGGCTTTTTGGAGGAGGCTACATTACCATGATCTGGGGAAGGGGAATCACGGAGCTGAAATGAAGTGGACATGTGGGTGGGGGCAGACTTCGAGGTAATGCTTTGTGAAGGTGCATACTCACTCCCCGTGGAATGAGATGCAGCTCTATCAGCTTCCCGGATTATCTTCCAGGTTTTCTTTATCAATTCCCTGGTTTTAGGAGTGAGTTTCACAATCCTCTTGCTTTTCCCCCCTCAGGAGGAACCACCTCTCCCGATTTGTTTTTCTTTACCCGCTCGTTTTTGAACCATTGTCTGTAAGGAATACATGTCTAACATTGTTAGTAGAAGCACATAAGGTGAAGTAGACAGTTCAGTTGAATGCAAAGAGTGCAGACATAGTGACACAGACAGAGGGGCGCGGACCGCACCAAAAAGCACGTGGTCCGCGCAGTATACTGACACCCACATATACCTTTATGAATAAACCGACGCGGTCCGTACTGATTTGGACCGCGGCCACGTTGGTTCAGTGTGGACCGCACAGAAATGGTACGTGGTCCGCGCAGGTGAAATACCTAAATGTTGACCTCTCTGAACGCTTCACACGCGGTCCGCACTGTTTTGGACCGAGACCGCGCTGGGCTCACGTGGACCGCACACAAATGAAACACGGACCGCGCAGAGAGGTTCATCATCTCTTAACCAGGGTCACACGGACCGCGCACAAATGTTGTGCGGCCGCGTAGGGCTAATTTAACTGAGCCGGGTGTTTGTTCAATTAAATCCAATTTTTGTTCACCTTTTTGGGTCCTAAGTGTCCCTACTCAGTTATTTAACAAGATTCAATGCCCATGATTAAACTAAAACACACAAAAATCTAAGCTAACAGTTAAACTAAGAAGAAAAAGACGAAAGTAAGAAGTTACACTAGTAGAAAGCAATTAAACGAAACAAAAATTAGACTATGATTGAAATGAATGAGAGTTGTTACCAGGGATTAATGAATGTACACAATTAGTCTTGATGAATAGTGAAAACAATAGCTCAGGTGTAAATTTGGCGAAAATGTTAAAATGAGGCCCAAGGCCTCTATTTATAGAAAAGCCCTGGGACCCAGTACATACCTACCAGCACGGTCGCACAAAAAAGGACGCGGACCGCGCTGGATTTTGCATCCTACACATTAGCTGTTCAATCCACGCGGACCGCACTGTTTTGGTGCGCGGCCGCATGGAAGTCTTCAGAGACTTGGTACTTTCAGCCATCCCAGCGCGGACCGCACTGCTTTGGTACGCGGCCGCGTGGGAACTTTGTCAGAGACATGTAATTCTGGGTCCTCCAGCACGGACCGCACAGAAATGTCACGCGGCCGCGCTGGGTCTTCTGGGCCTTAACCCTTCAGCTGCTCAAACCTACGCGGACTGCACAGTTTTGCTACGCGGCCGCGTAGGCAATATTCAGAGAATGACCATTTTGCACTTTTGCCCTGCACTGGTTCAACATTATCCCTGCAACACTTCACAAACTATCAGCTCAAAAATCCTACTCTACAACAGAAAAACAAAGAAAAAGAAAAAGACATGGGTTGCCTCCCAAGAAGCGCCTGATTTAACGTCACAGCACGACACATGTTACCATCACAGTCATTTCAAATGAATGAGTGCCACCACGTGGCTGTCATCAATCTTGCCCAAATAGTGCTTGACACGATGCCCATTGACCCGGAAAACTTCACCATTCTTATTTTTGAGATCAATGGCACCAAAAGGAGTTACACCAACCACTTCAAATGGGCCGCTCCACTTAGACTTCAGCTTGCCCGGAAATAACCTCAACCGGGAGTTGAAAAGAAGAACCATGTCACCAACTTTGAATTCCTTCCCTCGGGCATACTTGTCGTGAAGGTACTTCATCTTGTCCTTATACAAGGACGAGCTGGAGTAAGCATGAAACCTAAACTCATCAAGTTCATTCAATTGCTCAACCCAGAGATTTGCAGCGACATCCCATTCTAAGTTCAACTTTTTCAGGGCCCACATAGCCTTATGTTCCAATTCTACCGGAAGATGACAAGCCTTCCCAAACACCAACCGATACGGCGACATACCAATCGGAGTCTTGAAAGCTGTACGATAAGCCCAAAGAGCATCATCCAATTTCTTCGACCAGTCGGTCCTATTTGCATTGACAGTCTTGGACAAAGTACTCTTGATCTCACAGTTGGACACCTCAACTTGGCCACTCGCTTGAGGATGATAAGAAGTGGTCACCTTGTGATTTACCACATACTTGGCTAGCAAAGAGTCAAAAGCCCGGTTACAAAAATGAGAACCGTCGTCAGTGATGATAGCACGTCTTCGAGCTTCATTATTTGGCAAAGCTATGGCCTCAACCCATTTCGACACATAATCAACCGCTACCAAGATGTAGGTATTGCCACAAGAATATATGAATGGTCCCATAAAGTCTATCCCCCAAACATCAAAAATGTCAACCTCTAGAATCATGTTAAGGGGCATCTCATCTTTCTTCGAAATCCCTCCGGCACGTTGGCATTCATCACATCTTTTCACAAAGTCACCGGAATCCTTGAACAAAGAAGGCCAATAGAAACCACAACTCAACATTTTAGACGCCGTCCTCGCCCCGCCATGATGGCCCCCATACGGCGAAGAGTGACAAGCTTCCACAATACTCAATTGCTCTTCTTTGGGAACACACCGGCGAATTACACCATCGGTGAAAATTTTGAAAAGATACGGCTCATCCCAATAGTAGTCCAAACAATCCCGCTTGAGCTTCTTCCTTTGGTTAGAAGAGAGCTCATACGGAACCACACCGGTAACAAGATAATTAGCAATGTCGGCAAACCATGGCATGTCTAGCATTGAAACCGAGAGGAGTTGTTCATCCGGAAAAGCATCATTTATCTCAAGGCCGTCCAAAGGCCTCCCTTCCTCCTCCAATCGAGACAAGTGGTCCGCCACTTGATTTTCACTACCCTTTCTATCAACAATCTCCAAATCAAATTCTTGAAGAAGAAGCACCCATCTCATTAACCTCGCTTTAGAATCTTTCTTCGTCATCAAGTACCTAAGGGCGGCGTGATCGGTATGAATAATCACTTTGGCCCCCATAAGGTATGGGCGAAACTTCTCCATGGCAAAAACAATGGCAAGCAATTCCTTCTCGGTGACCGTGTAGTTCCTTTGAGCTTCATTCATTGTCTTACTTGCGTAGTACACCGGATGGAACATTTTGTTGATTCTTTGGCCCAAGACCGCCCCCACCGCAACATCACTAGCGTCGCACATGAGCTCAAAGGGCAAGCTCCAATTTGGTGCAGTAATGATGGGGGTAGTCGTCAACTTTTGCTTTAGAAGCTCGAAAGCCTCCATACATTTCTCATCGAACACATATTTGGCATCTTTCTCTAGCAATTTACACAACGGGTTAACTACCTTAGAGAAGTCTTTGATGAATCTTCGGTAGAAACCCGCGTGTCCAAGAAAACTCCTCACCCCTTTGACAGAAGTAGGGGGAGGGAGCCTTGAGATAACCTCAATTTTCGCCTTATCAACCTCAATCCCTCTTTTTGAAATTTTGTGACCCAACACAATTCCTTCTTCTACCATAAAATGGCATTTCTCCCAATTGAGAACCAAGTTTGTGTCTTCGCATCGGGCCAACACACGATCCAAGTTTTGCAAGCATTCACCAAATGAGTCCCCAACCACACTAAAATCATCCATGAAGACCTCCAATATGTCCTCCACCATGTCGGTGAAGATTGCCATCATACATCGTTGGAAGGTCGCCGGTGCATTACATAATCCAAATGGCATTCGAGAGAAGGCGAATGTGCCATAAGGACATGTGAAGGTTGTCTTTTCTTGGTCTTCCGGGGCAATGAGAATTTGGTTATAGCCTGAATACCCATCCAGAAAACAATAGAAAGCCCGGCCCGCAAGACGATCAAGCATTTGGTCCAAGAACGGCAATGGGAAATGATCCTTTCTAGTCACCTTGTTCAACTTCCGGTAGTCCATGCATACCCTCCAACCCGTCACAGTACGAGTCGGAATAAGTTCATTGTTGTCATTGGTCACCACCGTCATTCCTCCCTTCTTTGGCACACATTGTACCGGAGAAGTCCACGAACTGTCAGAAATTGGATACACCACACCGGCGTCAAGCCACTTGATGACTTCCTTTTTGACCACCTCTTGCATGGCCTCATTGAGTCTCCTTTGATGTTCAAGAGACGGCCTAGCATCCTCCTCCAATATTATCTTGTGCATGCAAAACGCGGGGCTAATACCCCGAATATCCGCCAAGGTCCATCCAATCGCCCGCTTGCGCTTTTGAAGAACCGCCAAAGTGGCGTCAACCTGCACGTTAGTCAAGCAAGAAGAAAGAATAACCGGCAAAGTGAAATTAGGACCAAGAAATTCATACCTGAGGTGAGGAGGAAGTGGTTTCAACTCCAACACCGGTGGCTCCTCAATAGATGGCTTGGTGGGTGGAGTTTTGCGATTTTCAAGATCAAGAGATAACTTCCTCGGTTCATAAGAATATGAGCCCATGCCATGTAATGCGTTCACACACTCCACCCTTCCAGCATCATCATCAACATCCATGTTCAATAGCACGGCCTCAAGTGGGTCCTCAACATTTGCCATTGCGCTTGTGTCATCCACTATCACCGCCGTGACAATGTCAACAAACGAACATACCTCGGTGCTATCTGGTTGCCTCATTGATTTGCACACGTGGAACACCACCTTTTCATCTCCAACACGGAAGGTCAATTCTCCCGCTTCCACATCAACCAAGGCCTTCCCCGTAGCTAGGAAGGGCCTTCCAAGAATGATAGGCACCTCGAAATCCACTTCGCAATCCAAGATCACGAAATCGGCCGGCAATATGAACTTATCAACACGAACAAGGACATCATCAATAATCCCCAAAGGCCGCTTCATTGACCGGTCCGCCATTTGAAGCCTCATAGAAGTTGGACGAGGTTGTCCGATACCCAAGGTCTTGAAGACCGAATATGGCATGAGATTGATACTTGCCCCCAAGTCACATAGGGCTTTTGCAAAATCGGCACTTCCAATGGTACATGGTATTGTGAATGCTCCGGGATCCTCTAGCTTTGGAGCCATGGAATGTACAATGGAACTCACTTGGTGTGTCATCTTGATTGTCTCACACTCCATCGATCTCTTTTTAGTAACCAAGTCCTTCATGAACTTTGCATATCCCCACATTTGTTCAAGTGCCTCCACCATGGGCACATTTATAGTCAAACTCTTCATCATCTCAATGAATTTTTTAAACTGGTTGTCACCTTTTTGCTTGGCCAACCTTTGAGGATATGGCAGAGGAGGTCTAGGTAAGAGTGACTTGGCTTTTGGCACCACCGGTTCGGGCATATCAATAACGTGTTCCCTAGACGGGTTCACGGC